AAGTTAGGCAAAATCCAACAAATAAGTCCAAATACTGATAAGTTATTACTTATATTCTAAGAATGACATATATGAGAGAAAGACAAATATAGAGAGGGGAAAAAATAGATGTCAAGCTCTCTCAAGAGGAACAAGACCTTGAAATCTAGAAGATAGAGGCTTCTGAAGTGTCACTCAGGATGTAAAAGGTAACCTGGGTTCATACTACCAGACCAACCTGGATAAGAATACCTTTTTCTCTGGCTCCACCTTTACCAATTTCTCAGGTGGAAACTTGAGCACCATCTTGAAGACCTCCGTACTGGTCCTGGGGATGGGTCCTTCTCTAGGACCAGATATACACACACATGCACCTGTCCACATATCTGTCATGCCATCTCTTCCTGCTCCAGCCACTGAGTGACATCTGCTGTGGGCAGGGCCCAGAGCTCCTGAAGCATGCTGTCCCCCAGGTCTCTTATGGCACATCACTATGTCCAAGACTCTCCCCATCACAAGGCCCATGTATGGAAAGCGTCCTTTATCTCCCTGTGCCATACCTGCATATATGAGCGGCCACACAGTGCTGGCTCCTGCTCACAGCATCTAAAAGTTCTTGGTAAAACCAGTTTTTTTTTTGTTTGTTTTTGACTTGTTCATCTTGAGACTTAGGCAGAAGTTAAGAGGCTTGGACTAAAGGACAGCCTGCATGATGGACACCTTGCTGTAGAAAGAATTCCCTTGGTCCAAGACCTCAAACTGACTTCATACAACTTTTCTCTCTTGGCATGAGTTTCTTCCTGAGAGGACCTCCAGGTCAGTCTTTGAATTGTAATGACTACTGGTTTTGGCCTCACTGTTTGCCAGCACTAGATTTCACAGGAGTTACTTTACTTCACCAACAATCGTTTGGGATGGAAATTCTCTCCACTTTACACTTAAGGAAAATGGGCTCAGAGAAGTGCATGCCTCACCCAGCATCTGTCAGCCAATATATTGCAGAGTCAGAATTTATATTCAGGTCTTCTGTATACCAAGAACAAAATTCTTAATGACTAGCCAGAACGCCTTCCAAGGGTAACACAGATGAGACAAGGCTCCTGTGAGGAGTGAGACAGGCTGCAGGGCAGTAGCTTGCCTGGGTTTAAAGCCACTGTATTCCTTTTAAACTGGTACTCAAGAAAGCAGACATGATAAAATAATTTATTCTGCCTTAGAGCTATAGCATCCCTTAGTAAGTTTGATTCCTACAGACCAATCTCACTCACACTAGATAAGAGGAGTGAAAAGACTCAGACTAAAGAGATGTATGAGGTTAAAAAAAAAAGTGGCATTTTTCCAGTCTGAAAAATCTCCAAGCTCTGTGTTAACTCAATGCCTGTATACTTACAATATGACTTTCAAAAGTGTACCGTCATATCAGAAATGTCTTTTTTAATATTTCCGTTTTACAAGACAATTAACTACAAGAAACATGGGCATAGGAAATTAGGTGACATTGTTTGACGCTGTCTTATGTAGTGGAAACGATTGTAAATTTTAATTCCGTGACCCAAATGACTCTACGACAGCAGACAACAGTCACTCTGTCTGCGTTCAGAAGCAACTAGACAAGTGTAGGAATGTATCTGGGTTTGTAAGAAATCAAAAATGACAATCAAAGCATGTACAAATAGTTGTCTTATATGTATAGGGAAAACCAGCTTGCTGTGCAGATTCTAGGAACAAATTGGCAGGCTGAACATGGGGAAATTATAAAACAAACCAATTCCACTTCCCTGAACTCCCTTCACTTCCCAGCCCCCATTCCATGATGTTCTCACTCACAATGAGGCTCTGCTCTCAGTTGTGCAGTGCACAAACCCCTAAAACTAAAAATTCTTAAAGGGACATATCTCGAAGTGTGGTATTCTAGGCACGCCATTTTGTACCAATAGGCTCACGCCTCAGACAGGTGCCTTCTCTAATTTCATCATGGTGGGTGCTCTCTCTATTTATAAATATGCTGAATTTGGCCTGGCATGGTGGCTCATGCCCGTAATTCCAGCACTTTGGGGGGCTGAGGTGGGCAAATCAGAAGGTCATGAGTTCCAGACCAGCCTGGCCAACACCCATTTCTACTAAAGATACAAAAAATTAGCTGGACGTGGTGACTGGCGCCTGTAATCCCAGCTACTCAGGAGGCTGAGGCAAAAGAATCACTTGAACTCTGGAGGTGGAGGTTGTAGTGAGCCGAGACTGAGCCATTGCACGCCCCCTGGGGGATAGGGAAAGATTCCATCTCAAAAAAAAAAAAGCCAAGTTTTTGTAAGGCCAAGGTTAATGCCAAGGTTAATTGTTTTTAATTTTTAATGCCAAGGTTAATGTAACTTTGCCCTGATTTATTTCTATTACTTTTGCTTTATACATTTTGATATATTTTATATTACAAAAATTTTAAATTATTGCATCAAAGATAGAGCAGGCCTATATAGGCAGGTGGGGAGCTTACCCTCTTTTATCTTCTGGAAGAGTTTTATGATGGGTGCTTGTTTCTTTTCTTCATCACATTGATAGAACTGGGTGTGGTGCTTTTGGGGAGCAGATTTTCATTAAGATTATTCTTTTCAGAATATTAGCATTTAAATCCTTTGAAAATCTTAAAACATTCCAATAATTTTCAAGCCAGCTTTGGCGATTTATTCAAATTTGTATACATTTTTATAAAAATTTAGCATAAAGGTTTTCAAAATGCCGTCTTAGGACATATTGAATTTACACTGTCATCATGACCCTTCTGTGTTTCCAATATTATTTGTTTATTTTCTCTTTCCCATAAACGATCCCAGTATTTTTTTGTTTCTTTGAAGTAGGTTTTGATTTTTTTGATCCTCTCCCGTACCTATTTCCTGTATCATAAATTTTTGTTCTTCCTTTATTAGTTCATTTTCTCAATTTTCTTCAATTTACATGTTGCATTGAAATATTAGCTCATTTATTTACAGCCTTTCTTAATTTCTAATGTAAGTATTCAAGTATGTACCAAAATGACTCATGAGAGAAAGCAGTACATTCAAATGAATCAAGTGAAAGAACTTAAAATGGGATTATTGGTAAGTTGTAGGCAGAGGTAGCAAGTCTATGGCCCATAATGAAGTCTGAATTTCCTCTATATACCTATTTATTCTACACTACTGTGGCCTTCAGATGCCTTAAATCCATTTTCCCATTACCAGTTGTCCATGTTATTCCGACCTCATATCTTAGTTTCAACTTCTTTTAAACCACTCTGCCCCTATCCCATTTAGTTATTATTGTTACAGTTTTGCTTTTATAGCCATTTTAAATTTATATTATATTCTCTCATGACTTCATCCTTCTTTGGGGTCTTCCTGGATCCAATTTCCTTCTTTCTAAAGTTCAGGCTTCAAGAGATCTCCCAGTGAGTGTTTGCATATAGTAAACTGAATTACTCACTGACATTATTTTGTCCTGACTCTGGAAAAACTTTTACGTTGATTACTCAGCATGGGGTCTCCTAATCATGTTTTTGGTTCACTTGAGACTCTTTAGTGCAGTGGTATAGGCCTAGAATTTCAAGTTTTTGGGAGTGCCTTCTTTCCTTTAAGAACAAACTTTTTTGCTGCTTCACCAGGCCAGTGAATGAACCTTTTCTAGATGAAGACAGAAAAGACTGAAGTTAGAAGCTTTCTTTGTGGAGCTCTGGTCTTGATTCCCTGCTCTAGATGGGCTGCCATCCACTCTCTGCTCTGCATGGGCATTCAAACTCCACATCTCAGTCCCAAGAGTTTCATTTATTCTGAAAAAATCCATGGCTGCTCCAGGATCGATTTCTCTTTAACATGCACACTTGTTTTCTCTTTTCGTTTTCATTATCTCCCCTTTCATTAAATATCTAGCATGTTCATTAACGTTCACTGCTGTATAGTATGGCATTAATGAATACAACACAATTTATGTACTCGTTTGTTTATTCATGGATATTTTACCTCTTTCATAGGCAAAGCATGACTTTCTTGGACATGTCTTCTGTGTACATATATACGAGTTTCTCTGGGGTATATACCAATAAGTGAATTTGCTGGGTCATAAAGTATGCATATCTGCACCTGTAGTAGACTCTGCCATATTGTTTCTCAAAGTGGTTGTACTAATTTAATCCCCGCAACAGAATGCGAGTGTTCCTGCTGTCCCATATCCTCACCACCAGTGGCTATTGTCAGTCTTTCTGTCTTTTTGACAATCTGACGTGTGAAATTTGTAGTCTTATTTGAATTTTCCTGATTGTTGAAGAGATTGAGCATCTTTATGTTTTTCTTTACTCTTTAGTGTAGTTTTCTTTATTCTATTTTTCTATATTAAAATTTCTTACTGATTTGTTGATACCATATATTTACATATATCTGGGCGCTAATTCTATATTGATTAGACAACCTGGAAATATCTTTCCAGGCCGTGGATTGTCTTCTCAGAGTTGTTTTTTTTTTTTTTTTTTAACTCTTAATATTATGAAAATTATCTATCTTTTACTTCAGGTCTTGCACTTCTTTGAAAATTGATTAAAAATTTTTCCCTACTCCAGCTTCATAAAACATTATACTGTTTTTTCTCCTAAATGTTTATATTTTTGCCTTTTGCATTTAATGTTTAAATATACCTTTATGTTTGGCATGCGAAAGTAATCCAGTTTTATATTTTACTCTAGGGATAATTATCAGACTCCTCTTGGTCTTCTTCTTGATAAGAATTTAGCTTAATTTTTATGAATGGCCTATCAAGAAAAAAATGGGCTAAATATTGAGCAACGTCCAGTAATTTTGCTACAAACAGCAAAATTAAGTCAAAATATACAAGTCTCGTTCTTGTACTAAGTCTTTGTCTGAAATCTTTCCCCTAAGAAAAAGAGTTAGGTAGCCCTTCTGTCTGTAACTTAACAGTGAATTTCTGTACTTGGCAATGCTTTTTTTTCTTTCCACTGGGGTTTTCGGTGTGCCCATCTATTGTCCCCAGTAACCCATTACATCTTGGGGTTTCAGGGTGTGCCTTCTGATCTTTGGATCCCTAGTGCCTGATATGTAACAGACACTAAACCTTTGGCAGATTAATGAATTAATGAGCCTATCTGAAACACTTGGAGGGGAGCTGGGAAGAGCCCTATTCTGCTTACTTGATGCTGGATGGAATCCTGTACAAATTCTTGACTCTTATTTTTCCTATGTATAAAAATTTGGGAAGAGAAAGATATTCTAAGCCAGGCAATAATTAGTTCTGTAAGTGTCTTGTCCTAGGCTTTTGTGAATTAATTTGGGAAACAACACAATGCCCCATTTACTTTCATTTTTCTTCTAAAGAGCGGCAGAGAAACATCATGCATACAAAAAGCTGCATTAGGCTGAACCCAGCTCCGAGTGGTTAAAGAGTTACAATCCAATCCTGTGCACGTTATTCTAATCTTTTTTCATTTGTTTCATCACAATGATTAGTTATTGCACACCTCACATTTTTTACCTGTCTTAACACATTTGAACTCTGTAAAATTCTCTTTTGCACATGAATTAATGTGAAATTTATTGCCATATTCTTTCCACTTATTAAAAGGGATGTACTTTACAAATATGACTGCAGCGCAAATTTATTATTTACATCCCGAGCCCTAGCCTTCATAACTACTTAATATGGATAAGGTGTTTAGTTTTCCAATGGAGTCCAGCTGCATCACTGGAATCAAACTTGTAATTGCCTCTTTGGGATTTAAAACCATTATAGTTGTGCTTTTATGTTCTCTTTTGTTTTGCTTGAATCACTTTTTCAGGTCTATGAAGTACAGCTGGCACAATAAAAGTTTGATCAATGCATAACCGATGCAGTGTATATTTCTTCCAGAAATATAAAACCCAGGTGAAAAATGTTAATCTATGAAAATTATCTTTGTCAGCTACTTATTCTTGGAATTTAAATGGGTTTCAATCTTGAAGTAGGGCTGAGCTTGGATTTCTGTGTTAAAGTTTTCTGACTTTGGTGACGTTGTACATTGATGTATATATTAAGGGCTGCAGAATAAAGTTTCTATTACCAAAATGTCCACTTTGCCCTGGAAATATTCTATATTTAGACTGGTTAAACAATGTACACTTAGATATTCCCTTGATTAAAAAAATGGGGGCAATGAGATGAATTTTTTTTAACTTTTTACTGGGGAAAGGGCAATTATCATAAAATTTATTTTAAATATGTGAACATTATATTTATAAATAAATATTTTCCAAAAACCTAGGAACTAAAACTAAGTACTAGGATTTCTTTTGGCAACAAAGAACTGAGGCTAACCGATTTCACTGGAAGATAATATTGTGATTTCAAAATGAAATGATCACCTCTGATTTCCAAGTGCAATTGGGGTTAATCATGGACAGATGTTCACTATTAACTCTAAATTTCTTTGTTCTTGTCCATTAAAATTAGCTATATTATGACGGAAACACAAAGCTGTGCCCATGGCTCCTCCCTCAATAAGAAACTCATGCATGCTTATATGAAAAATATGGAAGTAATGGCCATTGCCTTCATGAGCTCTGAATCTACCACTTCTACCATCTGGGCATGACCTGGACTGTAACACAAATGTGTCCATCTTATAATTGTCCCCAGCCTTTCCTTCCTGTGCAGTTTCTCCCCTCAGGGCACACACACTTAGTTGGATTCTTTGCTCATCATCTTTATTCTAAATATGATTCATGGTAAGAATTGATATTAGTCATTTACTCGTTAGTATGAACAAAATCACTCTTGTATTTTTTCCCTGACATATTAAGCCTAGAATTTATTATTGTGGAATGAATTGCTTTACCCCTGAATAAATAAATACATTTAAGCAGGAGGCCATGAGAACAGGGAGAGAGATGCCAACCCAGAGTTTTCACATTTAGACACCCATGAAGTCTGCATGGTGGCAGGGTCAGGACTAAAAAGAGGAGAGTGAGGCATTTGCCTCAGGTGCACATTTATGTGAACATGGTTATGCATTTTGTTGGCATATAATTGTTCATAGTAGTCTCTTATGGATCTTTGTACTTACCAGTTTTCAGTATCCATCAGTAGATGAAGAAAATGTTTATACACACACACACACACACACACACACACACACACACATATATATATATATATATATATATATATATATATATATATTCACATACTGCTATAAGGACATACCCAAGACTGGGAAATTATAAAGGAAAGAGGCTTAGTGGACTCACAGTTCACATGGCTGAGGAGGCCTCGTCATCATGGAAAAAGGTGAAGGAGGAGAAAAGGCACGTTTTACGTGGTGGCAGGGAAGACAGCGTGTGCAGAACTCCCCTTTAGAAAACCAGCAGCTCTCATGAGACTTATTTACTATCATGAAAACAGCATGGGAAAAACCCACCCTTGTGATTTAATTACCTCCCACCCTTTCCCTCCCATGGCACATGGGGATTATGGGAGCTACGATTCAAGATGAGATTTGGGTGGGAACACAGCCAAACCATATCAGTATACATAGTGGAATACTATTTGTCCTTAATACAGAAGGAAATTCTGCCATTTTCAACAGCATGGATGAAGCTGGAGGGCATTATTCTCCTTAGCATATTCTATATTCAGACTGGTTAAACAATATACCATTGGATCCTCTCTTGAACAAAAACTGAGGGCCATAAGACAAAATATCTTTTTCATTTCTGGGGGAGGGGGGTGCTAAGTGAAATAAGCCAGGTGTAGAGAAACAAACACTGCATGAAGAATCCAAAAAAATAAGCGGAGAATAAAATGGTGGTTAACAGAGGCTTTAGGGGAAGGGAGGTGTTGGACAAAAGATACAAAGCTTCCGTTAGACAGAAACTTTTTGAGATCTATTGCATAAATGAAATGTATATCTCAAAATTGCTGAGAGTATTTTTACATATTTGCAGCACAATAAATAAACCTGAGATGATGGATTTGTTAATCGACTTGATGTAATCATTTAATAACATATACATATATCAAAACATGACATTATACCCCATAAATATATACAATTATTCTTTGTCTGTAAAAATAAAGCAGGGCATAGTGGTGTGCACCTGTAGTTCCAGCTACTCAGGAGGGTGAGGTAGGAAGATTTCTTGACCCCAGGAGTTTTGAGGCTATAGTGCGCTGTAATTGGGCCTAGGAACAGCCACTGCACTCCAGCTCACACATTGTGAGACCTTGTCTCTAAAAAAAGTTAATTGATTTTTAAAAAAAATTTTAATAAATAAAAAAAAAATTGCGGGGCACAAAAACATCAGTAATCAAGATAATATTTTAATGCGTTTTTTAATGTTGCTATTTAATTCATCATGGATTATGATGCCTTCCTTGAAATTGAACCCGACCTGAATGCTTCGCTTGTCTCCTCCTAGTTCTGGCCTTGCTGGGTGGTTCTCTTTCAAACATTATTAATAGAAACTCCCCCTGCCTGGGATCTGCCTAATACATGTGGCATCAGGGACAGTGTGCACCAGGCTCCCTACAGAGGGTAATCACCTTGCCATATATGCCCTGAAAAAAATTGTTGCTTCTTACAGCATGCCTGGTAAAAGTAAATGTTCAATAAATATTTTGAATAGGATTGAATGCGTGAATTCATGAGTGGGTGAGTCAAGTGAGATTTGGTGTTATCAGTGCCCTGATGAAGAAGAGACTGTTTAAATGAGTTCTCTAGATGAATGCTGCTTCCACATGGGCCTGCTACACATGGGGAAAGCAATGTAAGCAACAATAAACCTCAGTGCATTATCTTCTGCTTCAAGCTGCCACTAATATTAATTAGACCTGCAGCTGGTAGCACAAACATAATAAAAAATAGTCTTTAATTTCTTATATAAGGCAAATAAGCAACTTATTTTTAATAACTGTATTGCTATTTAATCTTGGTAAGAACTTGAATAACTTTACTTATTTGGAAGGAAAGGCACTTTTTTGACAGCAAATTCAGTTGTTGACCTACATATTTTTATATCTATGGAATTATAAGAGCTTAACTTCAGGAAACTTTATTCAATTAAAACCTGGTTCGTTTTCACTCATGCCTTGAAAAATATGTGAAATCTTATTGTATTAAATGGTAGGGAGGCAATGTCTCTATTAGTTAACCTGGCCACTAGTTACAGCATAGAAATATTTATGTTCTAGATAGCTGCCAGTCAACTCTCATTCTTCATAATAAAGGGCATCAGGCAATTTTAAATGGTGGAAAACCCAACAATCAGTTACAGAGCATTTGTGTGAGCTTTTAAGGTTTATTTATTTACGAAACAAAGTCTCATTCTGTCACTAAGATTCATGTATTTTTTTTTTTTTACTGTCTTTTTCTGTCACACACTATGTCCATGCAACGGTTCATGTATTTAAATGTACAGACGTGTGGTGCTTTTAGAATTGTTTAAATGAAATAGATAAAACACATAATGAAGACCTGATGCAGGAGGAGTTGGAAATTTGTATCACATATTTTTCTTATTGGTACCTAGAACGTTCCCCCACCTCTCTTTTCCATGCTGTAGTTTGGCCAAGTCACCACTTAGAAAGAAACAGTCTTCTTTTATTTGTGCTCCTGTTGAGCACATTCAATATTTACTGAGCAACGTATTTGGTCCTAAGGGGGCAGATATGAGAAAGAGAATCTCTGCCTTTGCTGAGGGAAGCCTACAAGGAAGTGCTGAGCAGGTACAGGGCAGGTGGGTGTTTCCAGCTAAGACACAGAGGGTGGTGCGCTGTGTTTAAATGGACAGTGTCTGGTTGGAACCACAGAAGTGTGGGGACTGAGAGGTCCATAACAAGCAGACAGGGCACAGTCATGTGAGGTCCTAAGTCTCATCCTGAAAACACCTGGAACCATTGGAGGATTTGGGGCAGAGGGGTGATATAGATGCTCACATATGCAATTTGGAAGGATCCCTCTCAGAGGAGTGAGGAGTTTGGACTGGAACATGGAAAAGACTGGAAGCAGAGAGGCAGGGACACTACGTACAGAGAAGGTCACAGAAACATAAATGAAAGCTGAGAGGAGGTTGGGCCAAGATAGTGTCTGTGGGTACAGAGATAAATGGGGGACACCTTTTGGCCTAGAGACCCATGTTTACTCAAAACACCTTTTGCTGGTGGCAAGCACCAAAGAGAAATAAGCAAGACAGGAGATGGTAAATGATGACCTAATTTTGATAAACTCTCTGGAAAATCTCACTAGGAATTTAATGCAGTTCATCTCAGGTAATTTGAGGTATGAATAATCCTAGGTAGAAATGCAGATGCGTGCTTCTAGGTAAAGTCAGGCTGTAATAATTTCATTGGTATTTCTTCATTATAATAAGGCTACGTCTGCACCTTGGCCGCCAACTCAAAACTTTGCTCTGCTTTTAGGTTCATGACGTTTTCCACTGGAGGGGATGGGAAGCCAGTTATGCTTTGATCTCTGTTCACAAGTCTCTATCCATTTAATACTGATTTCTCCCTCCCCCACCGCCTCTCTCCCTCCCTTTCTTCCTTCCTTCCTTTCTTCCTTTCTTCCTTCCCTCTTCTTTCTCTTCTTTCTTCTTACCCTTTCTCCCTTCTTCTCTTCATTCCCTCCTCCCCTCCTTCCTTTCTTTCTTCCAGTCGGAAAAAGTATGTCTTTGGAAATACAGTAATAATTATATTGAGAAGTTTTTACACATAAATGTAATGCTAGCCACACATTCTGTGGCTGTGTGATGTGCTGCTGAAAGTTATCTGCCTGTTGGATTAGTCACCTCAAAAATGTCCAGGATCCTGAACCTAAACAGGTAAGCACAGAGAAATTCTATAACGGCCTTTATTCTTAGCAGCTGAAGGTTTTGCTGACTTGCTCCCAAATGATTCCTTGGTGAGGGTCCTGTTCTTCCTCACACTGCTCCTTCTCCTCACACACAGTGACCCCAGTGAAGGGAAGTGTTCTTTGGCAGTGGAAATGTTTGAGTAGCTACACTCTCCCTGCCTGAACAAGACAGTGAGTTCTATTAGTAAAAACCTACTCTGTATCAGTCACCATCTGCACTTTTTGTCACATGCTTCTCTCAATTCTAGGAGGAAGACAGTAGGTTTGCCGCATCTGTGTCCAAGGCATTGGCAGGCTATGTATATCTATACATGTATCACTGAGCACCGTAGCCCTTCAACCCATGTCTGTTTTCAGTGACAGCCTGTTGGGTTTCAGATTCACCCACCTTAAGTGTGTATCATGTGTCTCCACTTTCTGTTCTGGGGCCTTCTCCACTCTGTGGTAAAATGCATCATCCTCAGAGGCAGCCCTCAATCCACATGGAATGGGAGCTGGCAGACAAATGGCCCAGCCTTCTGGAGGCGTTCTACACCCTGCTGAGGAGATCTGCCTGGGCTCCAGCCCCTGCCATGCTCAGCAACCCCTCTGTGGCATACCTGTAGGCTGATTCTCCTCATTCCATGTCACCCTCAACTGGGATCCAGGAACCACTAGATCAAGTCCTTGTCTCAGGCTTTGTTTCTGGAGGAACCTCTACTAAAACAAAAGCTATGTCTGGCACTTAGTAGGTCCTCCACAAAAGTAAGTTCTCAACCCCTTCATCTTTCCATTGTAAAAATAAGGACACTGAGGCCCAGGAATTCTCTGAGTAGCTTGTCCAAGACCACATAGCCTGAGACCCACAACGAAGTTAAATTGAAGGCCTCTTTCTGGTGGCTTCTATCACAAAAGCTGCCTTTTGCTCTGTCCTGAGCAAACCAATGAGGACCCCTAGTGGCATGAACAGAATGGACATACAGGAACCGCAGATAGTGCCTTGGACCAGCCTGACCCCAATTCTGGGAGAAGTCTAGCCTTGCAAGTCAGCAACAGGCTTCTAAGTAGGCTCCTTCCCAGATAGTCTTGAAACCTTGAGGGCTGCCCCATCAGATGATATTTCTCTTTCTTGTAGAGGAAAAAGGAGCATATTATTCCTAGGTTTTCTGGGAGGTTCTCTCTCTGGCTGTCAAAGCTCCCTTTGCTGGTTTGGACAATGTTTAGCCTCTCCAGCATCAGACAATTGCTTTGTCAATTTCTGAAGTGAGGGAGATCCCTGCCTATTTGATGGAGCATCAGTGAGAGGCAGGGAATAGGTCTATATCCAAACAGTGTTCAGACAATAGGGCTTTAGCTGAGGGCCCAGCTGCCTAGTGTTGAAGCATCCTCCCACCAGGGTGGGCACAGAAGCCCACAGGCCTCGCAGAGTGCAGTGTGCATCTATGGAAACAATCATCTCATTTCTGTTCCTTTCAGAAACCCTTGCAGCCCACAAGCATTCATTCAAGAGATGTTTGATAGGTGTCTCTGTCTTTGACATGCTCACACCTTTCAGCCCCCACGAAGTCAACCATATGCTCCTAATGAGCAACCCATATTTATTATAACAGGGTCTCTTTATTGTGCATGCCCTGTGGCCAACTGTGTCACACTCTCTTCTAAGAAGCTTGGGTATGTGGAGTCATTGTTCTGGGCAGACTGGATGAAGAGCTACCGGAAGTTGTACAGCATCAAGGAAGCAAATGGAAACAGATGGGGACACTGTGGCAGAGCACAAACCCAAGAGTAGAGCCAACGGGTGCTGGACCAGCCACACAGGGTGTGGGAGTGAGAAGGAGGCAGAATTTGGCTTTACTTATCTTTTTTCCCAGCTGGTGAAGCCACCTTCTTCTCCTTTACCTGCTTCCTACCTAAGATATAGCTCATGTGACAGAAGTCCAGGCTCCCCTAAATGAAGGACAATCCCCCAGTTCCTCCTCCCCTAGGGCTGCCTGCTTAGAAGAAAGATAGCTTACAGACGTATAACTTGGGGGAAGCATAAAACAAAATAAGCTAAGTACAAAGGGCAGATATGAAACAGATTTTTTTCGGGGCTCCAACTGTGGCAGATATTATAAGCAGAACAGATTTCATATGGAAGACATTGACAAGGAATAAACATAGCACCCAATGCTAGCGTTTTCAAGGATTTGCTTCTTTGAACAGAAGGGCTTTTTAAAAAATCACATTTTTATCAAACAATGAGCAGCAAAATCTCTCCCCCAAAATGGCAAAGGCAGATCAAACCTAGGTATGGGTTACCTGTATTTGCAGGAACTGTTTCAAAAATCCCATTTCAATTTGCTATG